GCGGGAGCTGCTCGAGGCTGTGGTTGAGAGCTAGAGGGCTGAGTTTAAAACCTTTGTCTCGTACGTGCATAGAGAACATCCCTGCAAAGTTTCAGCCTTCTACGTTGCCTCGTTCGCGAAATCGTTTCCTGCCAACAAATTCCTTTGGGGGTCTTGCGCGCGGGGTTTAGGCGCATATGGGGGAAGATCTCAAAACGGGAGGATGACACACGGGGTAGGAACATATATCCAAAGTTCCAGCCTCCCAGCTTTCCTGGTTGCCGAGTTGAAAGTGGGTGACAAAATGCACTCGCTTTCCGAACATGAGCCCCCCAGCTTTCCTGGTTGCCGAGTTGAAAGTGGGTGACAAAATGCACTCGCATTGCGAACACCGAAGTTTCAGCCCCAGCTTTCCTGGTTGCCGAGTTGAAAGTGGGTGACAAAATGCACTCGCATTGCGAACACACACTTAGGGACATATATCCAAAGTTTCAGATCCCAGCTTTCCTGGTTGCCGAGTTGAAAGTGGGTGACAGAATGCACTCGCTTTCCGAACACACACACACGCACGCACACACACACAGACAGCTTCTCGACAATATGCGTTTTTGCTGGTTGTAGCAGCGCTATAGCCAGACAGCCTCTCGACAATGTGCATTCTTTGCTAGCTGTATCAGCGCTATAGCGCTGCACAGCAAAAACGCATAAAAATCTGTTCGGGGTTTGCATTGCGTTTATTTTGAACGCGCTTACAGTTATGTCCTGGTTGCTTTGCCTTGGATCAGTGATATCCTTGAGAAAGAGGTTGTTAACCCATCGCATGTTGCGATAACAAGATATTCGAGGCGATTTTTAGGCCAAATTTTGCAGATTTCTTAATGCTTGGGTTGTAGTTTGCTGAGTCCGGGTTATGCAGGAGAAATTTTTACAGTACCGGGGCAAATTTCGTGTTGCTCTGGTTTGTAGTTTGCAACATCTGGGTGGTTTTTTTTTCCACAATCCTCGGTCAAGTTTGCAGCATTGGGGGTTAAATTTCATGACATTTGGGTTGTGTTTTTATTACACGTTTTTATGCCCTCCAGGCATGTTTCGGTAACCGCGTGAGTTGAATTTTTGCGTTTTTTCTCGAAACTTAATTTTTTTTGTAAGATTTTTCAACGCTTTAAAATTTGTTTTTGCAATTTTTTGGATTTTATGATGTATGGTTTGTGTTGTTGTGATGTCCAGGATGTGTTGTGATAACAGTGGGGTTGAATTTTCCTTTGTTTTTTTTCTAAAAAAATTTTTTTTTAATTTTTAGTTCCTTTAAAATCAGTTCTAGCGATTTTTTCCTTTTTTTTTTGGATTTTACGATGCAAATTTTGTGCCTCTGTGATGCCCAGGACGTGTTTTGTAGCGCCAGGGTTGAAATTTTGCCTTTTTTTTCAAAATTTAATTTTCTACAACATTTTTCTACGTTTTAAAATCAGTTTTAATGGTTTTCCTGGATTTCTGTGGTGACGCCTACAGCGCGTGGTGATTCATCACACTTCTTCCATGCTTCTGCGAAATTTTTCATGCATTAATCAACGGCATAGCTGTTTTAAAATGCCTAGATTTTGCCTCTCTTTCTGTTATCCGCGAAATTTTTTGATTTCTTTTTTTCCGCTTTTCGAATTTTCTAGATGGATTTTTATACGTGCCGATTTTCCTCGTTTGTTTATGCGTTTTGTGCTGTGTAGCAGCAGTACAAAACGCATATTGTCACGGGATTGTCTGTGTGTGTGTGTTTGTGTGTGTGTGTTTGTGTGTGTGTGTTTGTGTGTGTGTGTGTATGTGTTCGCAGCAACTTGTCCGCAACTTTCAACTCGGGAACCGCAAGAGCTAGAAAGCTGAAAATTTGGGGGAACGTTCCCCACCCACGTGTGACCCCGCAAATTTAAATTCAGCTTGCCCGTACCCGCGGGTAACGCATACGGCCCTGTGAAAGTTATTCACGGGTAAGTTAATATCTCGGGAACCACGGACTCTAGGAGGCTGAAGTTTTAGGCTAATGACCACCTGCCCACGCTCAACCTTGCCGTTTCAAATTCAGCCTTCCCTTACTCGCGAGTAACACGTACGTCCCCGTAAAAATTTTTCACGGGTAAGTTAATGTCTCGGGAACCACGAAGTCTAGGAGGCTGAAATTTTAGGGTAATGATCCCTTGCCCGCGCTCAATCTTGCCCATTCAAATTCAGCGTTCTTGCACTCTCGGGTACCATCTACGGCCTCATGAAAATTTCGGCGGGTAAACTATTAACTCGGGAATCACGGAAAGATATTCATCCTTCCAGGTTTCGAATTCAGCTTTCATATGTTGGTGCGTGAAATTTTTAACTGTTTTCCAATTTTGGACTATTTTTGCATAGACAAAAGTACAAAGCAGTGAAAATCATTAATAGGCAATCGTTCGATGGGCT